CTGCAGGGCGGACAGGGACAGACGCACGGCGCTCGGCTGTGGGCCCTTCGGGAAGCCACGGCACGTCCACGGGGCGGGGGCAGACGGGACCCGCCCGAATCACTGGTAGGGGCACCCCTGCTGCTGCCCCCCAACCGCTGTCCTCGGACCACTGTCCCCGAGGCCCTGCCTGCCCCGGTGTCAGCCCCTGAGACCAGTGGGAGGAGGCCGGACAGGGCCCCCAACTCCGCCAAGCCACGCACAAGGCAAAGGCCCCGGCTGTGGAGCCAGCTGACCTGGGTCCAAACCCCGGTCCCGTCACCTCTCACCTAGGCAAGTTACTTAACCTCGCTGAGCCTCAGTTTCCCCTCTGATCAGATGGCTGAGCCTGGCGACTGCCCCTTCCCAGGGGATAAAGGGAGCTCAGCCTGCCCCGAGCCCCTTCCCCGGGACTCCCCTCGCTCCTCATCCTCCCAGGCACCGTGGTCTGTCTCCTGGGGACCCTGACAGTCCAGGTCAGCAGAGCCTTCCCCACCCTTGACCATGACGTGAATCGCTAGCTGTCCCGCCACGTGAGTGTTCCTCGGGAACCAAGCTCCGGAAATGCCTCTGCCCCGTGCACCGAGGACCGCGGGTCTAACTGGAAACTGAGGCCCACGGTGTGGGGTCGGAGCGGAGATCTGTGCGCAGACTCCGCCCCAGCAAGTGCCGAGCAAGGAGCGGGGCCCCCAGCCCCAGGTTGGGCCCCAGGGAAGGGCAGGTGGGGTCCACGGCTGAACAACAAGCCGTGTGCTGGAACAACCACGGCTACTACTTTCTAACCACGGTGACGCAGAAGAGTCCAGAACACAGATATAGACTTCCCCACGCCCCGCCCCAGGAGGGACCAGCACTGTCGTCCAGTCACATGCCTGTGACCACGGCAATGGCCAACTCGCAGACCGGCCACCCGGTGGGCCAGCCGTGGGGACGGGGGCAGGAGCCCAGAGGCAAGAGGCAGAAGCCAGTCTACTCGTCGCCTGCTCGCCACCCAGACTTCTCCACAGGTCTGGGAGAAGAGTGTGCCCCCTGCTTCCGTGTTCATCAGCTCGGGAGGCCTTGGGCACTCCACAGCCGTGGGCTCTCGGCTCCGGCAGCAGGTCCCAGGCCCCGCTCTGCTACTACCCAGCTGTACAGTGTCGCCTGTCTGTGCCTCGGTTTCCTCGCCTGTAAAACGAGAACAGCAACACCTACCTCGCAAGGCTGTTCTCGAAAGATAACGAATGGAAAAGCACAAAACTTTTTATGTTAAAAAATAAAAAATAAACCCAAAAAGTCAGCTTCCCTGAGCCGGAGTTTGCAAACTAGAAGCGTGTAGGCCAGACCCGCCCACAGACTTATTTTGTTCGGCACAACCTTTTCTTTCTTGAATTTGAATTTGTTGCCAACATTAAACATTTGAGAGATTCCCGATAACACTTCATTATCTGTTTTCTAAAAATAAATAAGTGAAAGGTAACATCTGGCAGTCCTGGGCCAGGCAGGAGGCGCTGGGCGTCTGTGTCCCCTCAGATAGGGTGGAAACGTCCAGTCTGCCCCAGACCCCGCCTGTCCCTACTGCCTCACACCAGGGCCGCATCGCTCATTGTAAGGTGCTGCCCACTCACGGTGGGCGTTTGGCTTCCTGGTCCCTGCCATAGTTGCTGAAGGGGACAGACGTGGCCCCTGGCCGGGGACATCAATCAGGCCAGAGGTGAAGCTCTCCACGCCCCTCCCTCCCAGCCCCATACTCCTGTCTCTCCGCGCACCCCACCCATCGGCCCGGCCGGGGCACTGAGCAGTCTGCTCCTTCCCGTCACCGGAGACCTCAGGAACACAGGAGCACGCGTGACCCCAGCAGGAGTCCAGCCAAGGAGGCCACCAACAGCACCCAGCGCGCCCTGGTGCAGAGAAACCTGCGGCCGCGCCCAGGCCGCGGGGAGGAGGGTTAGCGCCCCGACCCCTCCGAGGCCTCTAGGCCACAGCCAAAGCGTGGCGGCCCTCGCTGGGCCCTCCCCGACACACGGCGCTGGGGAGGCGGTAGCGCACCCGCCCTTCCTGCTCCGGAGCCGCCCGAGCCAGGGGGCCGCAGCGCACGCACGTATTTATGTCAGGTCTCTGACCGGGGGAGTTACTTAAGCAAATCAGCAAATCACTCCAGCTGTGCAGCCTCATGTATTCCCGCAGCTCCCAACGACCGGGCTTGGGGGGGTGCGGGAAGCCGTGGCTCTCCCCCCTCTTCCCGCCCGGCAGAGGAGGACGGCTGGGCTCCCTCCCTCCCGGGCAAGCTGGGCAAGCGTGCACGCAAAGCCAGGCAGCCGGGCAGCCGCCACCACCTGCTGGGGGACACCCCCATGGTCTGGTCTCCCCCACAAGGTGGGTGCCCCATGGCGCAGCGGCAGGGGCGTGTCATCCGCGAACACGGACCCGCCCGGCACCACGTCCCTCTGAGCTGCAGGCCCAGCCACAAGCGTGCCGTCTGTGTGTCCGCCTGGCCCCGGCAGCTCGCACCAGCGCCCAAGCTTCACAGACACCTAAGCGTTACTCCCCCGCGTCACAGCGGGGACCACCGAGGCTCGCAGACCTGCCTGGGGTGACACAAGTCAATGCCAAAATGACGAACAATTATTACAATTGCAGAGGACAGCGGCGGACACTGGGTGGCCCCTGTGGCATAGCCTGAGGCTCACTCTGAACCATCCGGCCACCTTGCCTCGCCGTGGGCGACGGACGGACAGACGGACGGGAGGATGGGCAGGAGGCTGGTTCATAGATTGACAGATACACAGACGCACACATGGATGGACAGACGGACTGGCTGACAGATGGGTGGATGGACGCATTCATCAATCCACCCGTCCTTAGACAGGGCTGACTGTCTCCTCTCTGCCGGCTGACCCCCGTGTCCCCCCTTTTCCTCCAGCTGTCCCCGCAGGGCATGCCTTTCCAACCCACCCCATCACCCAGTCCTGAGTGTCCGCCTCCGAATCTTCCCCAGCCGCACTTGCTCTCTAGCGGGGGAGGGGACAGAACCCAAGCTCTGGCGTGGCCTGACCCCCATAGGGTGGGAGGAGGCGTCCCCTCCTCTGCTCCAGGGCTGCTACCTCTGTTGTTCCAGCCCAAGGCTGCATTCGTCTCCCAGCACTCGCATCACCCTGCGGCTTTTACCGGCCCGACTGTGGACAGAACGCCCGGCGACCGTCGCGCGTAGATTCTTCTCCACCCTCCACCTGGGCGGGAATGGGGGGGGGCTCTGGGGGCCTCAACCAACGAACTGATGCCAGGGGCTCTGGGGAGGGGTGAGATGACCACAGACTCTTCCGCCCAACGCCTGCACACAGAGGGAGGCAATGCTGTTCCCCTTGCTGTTCCCTGCAGCACACAAGGCTGACACACAGGGAGCCGCCTCGGGGACCGGTGGGAACAGCTGCCCTCACAGGACCCTGGGGGGCAGGGTTCTCCAGGCGGGTGTGGGAGGGATCAGGCGGTGTGGACCTTGGAGCCAGGACACGCCAGCACCCGTGGATGAAGGGTGGGCATGGCTCAGGGAGGAAGCCAGCTGAGGGCACCCAGGCTGGCGCAGCAGGTGCCTGAGGGACTGTGCTGGCCTTGGCAAGGCTCAGCAAAGGGACAGATGGGTCCAAATGGCTATTCTCACCCCCTCTCCTCATCAACCCAACAGAAGCTAGGAATCCACCCGGCCTACCCATCCCAAAGCCCACCGAGCCAGCCCTCTCTTTCGTCCCTGACCCTGTGCCGGGGGTAAAGCCAGCCCTGGTCAGCTCTCCACAAGCCCTGCTGGGGCACACGCCCAGTCCCAGACCAGGCGCGGCTCTGCTGGAGACACGGGGGACAAGACACAGCGGAGAGGCCTGCAGGGCGTCCAGGCCACGCCACTCATTGGGAAGAGGGGGCAACTGAAGCTCAGACGGCAGAAGGGACTTGCCCAGGACCACACAGCAAGACAGTGGCGAGCTGGGACTGGAACCCCGGCTCCTGCTCGTGGACGCCTGAACGACGGCCAGCCCCTGGCAGGACATGCCCAACAGGCGGATGGCTTGGGACACTGGAAGGAACTGAGGACATGCGGGAAGGACGGAGCAGGGACTGCAGCCCAGGCCAGGTCCTGCCACTGGAGACACGCCGGCCGGGCCCTGCTGGGTGGGCCAGGACACTGAGTCACCTCCCACTCTCCGACACAAGCACCATGTCCGAGACACGAAAGCAGCCCTGTCCCCCTGCTTTACGGAGCTGGGGACAATGACGTGTGTTCTGCACGATGGCGTTCACACCTGCTCCCCAAACGCCTCCCTCTCGGCCAGGGTGCCAGCCATGCCCGCACGAGCGGTGGGTTTCCTGCGGGGTCGCCAGCCATGCCCGCACGAGCGGTGGGTTTCCTGCGGGGTCGCCAGCCATGCCCGCACGAGCCGTGGGTTTCCTGCGGGGTCGCCAGCCATGCCCGCACGAGCCGTGGGTTTCCTGCGGGTGAAGCGACCACTGTGCAGTGACCGGCTAAGCGGCCGAGGCTGCCCCGGCTTTAACCCTTCCACTGCCACGTGCGTCTGCCCAGAGGGCCTGTGCCTGCGCCCCACACGCAGCGCACGTGAGCGAGCCTGGATGGCGTGCAGGGAGGGCGTGGGGCGGACGCAAGCGGAAATCTCTGCTGTTGGTGCTTCCGAGATTAATCTCCCTCCGAAAGGTTACAATTCTTCACTGCTAACACTTACCCATCCCATTTAGCAGAAAGTGCTGCCTCCAAACTGCATCATCTGTTAAATTCAACAAGGTATGTGCGAGCTCCTCCGCCATCCGCGCGTTCCCGGCGGAGTTTTAGTGTTCTCCAAATGCGGCGACAAGCAGGAAGGTGCCCACTTACGGCTGCTCCCGCCCATTCCCATCTCGCGGAGCGCAGCGGAGGGGGATGGAATAAAGAGCCGGCATAACGATCTCTGATTGCGTTTTTAGTGCGTCTTTGACAGTTCTGTGTTTAAACGCTGGCGGTG